ATCTATTCCTTCCGCTCCTTTCCAGAATTTCCTGAAAAAAAGAAAAATGTAAAAACACTTATGTGTATATATATGCATTAAAACATAAATCACTTCCAGGAAGGAAAGGAAGCCTGGTTCTCCTTGAACAACCTCCTGGTACTTTTGCCTCAACATCCTCACTAAGGACTAACCCCACCCACCCAAATGAGGGTCTAACACCCTCCTCTCTTACTCTTTCTTTCGCTGTAATGTGTAACCCTCGCCCTGTCCCCCAGCCTGAGAAAAAGACACCACCAAGGTTCATTTCAGGAAAAAGAGGAAATATGACATCAAAGGAACTGAGTGACTGGGATGGGGGGTGGGGAGGAAGCAACTTTCCTTCAACCCCTTCGCTCTAATTGCTTTTTACAATTTTAACTGTGAATCCCTTCTGACCTCCTTAATATTGCTCTCCAAGCTCCCTTTCCTTCTATTTCTCTTGTCATTACCGAAGAAGGCTCCCCTGGCGATATACTACACGGTACTGCATGTTTCCTATACTGGCCTGTTGGAAGAGCTCCTGCTTTTAAGTCTAACCTTCATCCTTCGGCAGTAGCTCTAGCCCATTTCCTCTCATTCAAGTCAGAACAATACCCGTGCCTATCTCCTCGCAACCTCTATCCTGTGCTTTCTTCGTATTTGTCCCTAAGGTTCCTACAGGATCTTCCCCCCTCTGTAGCTCTTCCAAGTACAGGTAGGATTGCTACCAGCCTTTCCCACAAAATAACTAAAGGAAATCGCAGCTACGGCACAATCGAACTCTTCAACCCATGCCCCGCCCAGGCCCAGTCTCGGCCAATTCCCTTTGTGGCCTGAGCCACGCCCAGCACCGAAGTGGAGGGTTTAAAAGGGCGGGAGGACTACAACTCCCAGCAGGCCCTGCGCCCCGCCCCCGCCGCGCCCCCTCCGATTTTCCATTGGCCGGGGGGCGGGGCTGGGAGTAGATGGGAGGTGGCCAAGGGGCTGCGGCAGGGGTTTGTCCCCTCCTCGGCTTCCGTAGAGGAAGTCGCGCGGACTTGTATTTGGGGTTTCGGTGCCCCCCCTTCCCCTTCCCCGGGGCCCGGGGGTGACATTGCACCGCGCCCCTTACGGGGTCGCGTCGCCACCCCACGCGGACTCTCTGGCGGGCGTGCTCCTCCCATTTGCCTCTCTTGGCCAGGCCTCCACCCCGCCCCCAGCTGACCAGCAATGGGGGCCGCAGTGTTTTTCGGGTGCACTTTTGTCGCTTTCGGCCCGGCCTTTGCGCTCTTCTTGATCACTGTGGCTGGGGACCCCCTTCGTGTCATCATCCTGGTCGCAGGGTGAGTAGGGGCCGGGGAGACTCGGGAGGGCGCCCAGGAGAGAGATCGGGAAGGGGCTGGAGAAAGTGGGGTTACCCCGGGAGCCGGAGTTGGGGGAGGCAAGTCGGAGGTGAAGATCGGGAAGGGCTGAGTCGGGGGTTTGGGCGATTGCCCCTTCCCGCAGCTGGTTTCCGCCTTCCCGGGATCGCACAGATTCCTTCTACACTTCTTCCGGCGACGTCAGAGGCGGCCGCGGCCAGGGCTCGGGAGGGGCTGTGGGACCTCGGGCGGCCCTAAGCGAGGGTCCAGGCATGGATACCTCGCCCTACTGTGCGCATGCACTCCCACTCTCATTGGTCTGAAGGCTCTCGAGTCCATTTCTACCCCATCGCCTGGGTCCGGGACCCTGAGACTCCCTTGGTGGAGACACTTATCTGTTCCCTGTCTCCCTGACCATCCGGAAGTCTAACTTCCACTTTTCACGTTGCAGCTTTGGTTGGTTCCCCTCCTTGATTTCTCGGGCTGCCTCTCCCCTTTGCCTGTCTAATGGCCCCCGTTTTTCCTCAGGGCGTTTTTCTGGCTGGTCTCTCTGCTCCTGGCCTCTGTGGTCTGGTTCATCCTGGTCCATGTGACCGACCCGTCAGATGCCCGGCTCCAGTATGGCCTCCTGATTTTTGGTGCTGCGGTCTCCGTCCTTCTACAGGAGATGTTCCGCTTTGCCTACTACAAGCTGCTTAAGTAAGAAGATGGATGGTCTGGAGGGGAGAAGGGCAGAGGATTGCACCCTGAAAAGTGGGGCAGCCCCCGGGTGGTGGTTTGGAAGGAGAGGCACCAAGGGAGGATACTAGCAGGAAAGGAGCCTCTCACCTTCCCTCATGTTTGCCCCGCCCCGCCCCACCCCACCCCAGGAAGGCAGATGAGGGGTTAGCATCGCTGAGTGAGGACGGAAGATCACCCATCTCCATCCGCCAGATGGCCTATGGTGAGCCAAGGGAGATGGGCTGGAGGAGGGCAATGGACACCTTCCTCTCTCTCTGGGAAGTCTCTAAGCGCCCACATGTTCTAAGTGGCTACGTGTTTCCTTCATGTCTGACTTCCAACGAGAGGTGGTCTGGAGGGAGAGTAGGTGTGGGGGCTTGTGCCTGGAAACGGGGCGGGATCGCTGGTAAGCAGGCTCTACTGATTTCTGGCATTGATGAGCCCCTCCCTCCCCCCAGTTTCTGGTCTTTCTTTCGGTATCATCAGTGGTGTCTTCTCTGTTATCAATATTTTGGCCGATGCACTTGGGCCAGGTGTGGTTGGGATCCATGGAGATTCACCCTATTACTTCTTGACATCAGGTAAGTCCCACTTTTTCTCTTGACTTCATGCCCCACCCATCCTGGCCCTGACCTCATGTGTTGGCCCTCCCGGGGAGACTAAGGCGGTGGCTCAGTATCTCAGGAGGCTGGGAGAAGGTGAAGGATGTATCCCCTCCCCCTCTCGCTCCCTGCAGCTTTCCTGACAGCAGCCATCATCCTGCTTCATACCTTCTGGGGAGTTGTGTTCTTTGACGCCTGTGAGAGGCGACGGTACTGGACTTTGGGCCTGGTGGTTGGGAGTCACCTACTGACATCAGGACTGGTGAGTCAGGGACAGGGACCTAAGTCAGAGAAAAATTGAATGGTGGGTTGTATGGAGGGGAACCGTATCTTCACTTCTGAACATTTAAAAACTTATCTTGGGAGAAGGCAGAAAGGTGAGTCTTCAGAGGTCCCTCACTTTAGCATCAATGAAGTAACCTTCCCTGGGTACTCTGGGGAGGAGTTTGCATGGATGGGTCAAACTGTAATGCAGATGGTGTGAGGTGAGCAGGAGCTGGGGAAGCTGAAAATCAGAAGTCTCCTTAACCACAAGATGTTGGTGCTGAAGGGAAGGCCTGGGGGACTTGAGTGAGATGTCTGGGCGAGGTTTGGGTCAAAGGCACAAAGAGTACATGGGGGTTAGGCAGAGGAAGAATCTAACCTTTTTTCTACTCTTGCTCCCATCCCCAGACATTCCTGAACCCATGGTACGAGGCCAGCCTGCTGCCCATCTATGCAGTCACGGTTTCCATGGGGCTCTGGGCCTTTATTACAGCTGGAGGGTCCCTCCGAAGTATCCAGCGCAGCCTCTCGTGTAAGGACTGACTACCTGGACCGATCACCTGACACATCCCACCTGTCTGCCCACTGCCCATGACTGAGCCCAGCCCCAGCCCCGGCCCACCGTTCACCACTCTCTGCCTCCTTCTCGTCGGTCTGTCCCACCACCTTCAGGGTTTTTCTTTGTCCATTGGTGACCTTTAGGCTTTACCAGGAGCAGCCTGGGGTCAGCCAGTCAGTGACTGGTGGGTTTGAGCCTGCACTTATCCCCACCATCTGGGGACCCCTTTGTTACCCAGGACTTTCCATGTGTCAGTGCTCTGCTTCCACCCTGCCCAAGACTCACCTCCCTTCCCCTCTGCAGGCCGACGGCAGGAGGACAGTCAGGTGATGGTGTATTCTGCCCTGCGCATCCCACCCGAGGATTGAGGGAGCCTTGGGGGGGAAACCCCTGTGCCTGGGGTGCTCCCCTGATCTCCTCGCTCTGTATTTCTCCATCTCCAGTTCTGGACAGTGCAGGTGGCCGAGAAAAGGGGCCTAGCTTAGCCATCACCATGAAGGTGAAATTAATGGCGGCGCAAGGTTAGATGAGCTCTGAGTTTCCCAGTATCCCCGCCCCAGACTGGACTTCTTGGTCTTTTTCTCAGGTCTGAGGGGAACCATTTTTGGTGTGATAAAGACCCAAAACTGCCTTTTTCTTTCCTCTTTTTTTTTTTTGAGAAGGAAAAGGGAGGAGGTATGTTGGACTTCTCCTAACCTCCTCAAATTGCTCCTTCTAGCTGGGCTCCTATCTGTCCCCTATTCTCCATGGTCCCATGGGGGATAGGAAGGAAATGCATGTTTGGGAACTGGTATTACTGGAACTAATGTTTTAACCTCCTTGACCACCAGCATCCCTCCTCTCCCCAAGGTGAAGTGGAGGGTGCTGTGGTGAGCTGGCCCACTCCGGAGCTACAGTGCCACTGGAGGAGCCAGCCTACCATGACATCGTAGGGAAGGAGGGAAGATTTTTTTCTAGTTTTTAATTGGGACTGTATGGGGGTGGGGTGGGGAGGTTTTCTATAAACTGTATCATTTTCTGCTGAGGATGGCATGTCCCATCCTTTTAATCAAGGTGACTGTGATTTTGACTAATAAAAAGGACTTTATAATTGTGGGGGAACGTGCCTTTGAAGGAAGGGGATAACATTAGTTGAGATTCCCGTCCTCTCACGTCTCTGGTGCAACTCTCTTCCTAATTTGGCACCTGCAATCCCCTCCTGACCTAGGTTTGGTGCAAGGGCAGAAACATGGGCTGGTGGTTTAACATGTCGGAAACTTTGGGTTAAGCATTTTCTAGGGTCTCCCCGAGGATTGGGGTAAAAGAAGTTACTCACACATGCTTCTTTTTCCCTATCCTTTGCCTACCTCTGCCACCTGAGGGATTAAGGAATTCTCCCACACTCAAGAGTCCCAAAGGTAAAGCCAGAGGTGGGTCAGAAGCCTTAATTTTCAAATATATTGAGCAAAAATATAACCCCACAACAGCAACTTTTTCCTGAGGGGATAT